CGCCCAGGACGCTCGCTTCCCTGCGCAGCACAGCTGGGCTAGAGTGCAAAGGGCCCCTCATCTTTTCGTCTCTCTCGCCCCAGGTTTCGAGAACTCGTCGTTGCTCACATGTAACTGATGGGCCCCTGGGGGGAGGGGCGGGCGGCTGCAGACCCCGTGGGGGAGGGTCCCCAGCGTCCTCTTGTACCTCAGCTGCATGACCCCAAGGATGAGCCCTGGGGAGCCCCTCCCCTTCGCGCTCCTGGGCGGGCGAGGGTGGGCAGATGGGCCTGTTTCCTGCAGCTCAGCCCAGTGTCGGTCTGTCCATCCCAGGGCCATGTGGCCGACGGGCCATAGGGACGCGTGTGGTGGGAGGAAAGGACGCGGAGCTGGGGCGCTGGCCGTGGCAGGGCAGCCTGCGCATCTGGGGCTCCCATTCCTGCGGAGCGAGCCTGCTCAACCGGCGCTGGGTGCTCACGGCGGCGCACTGCTTTGAATCGTGAGTCTCGGAGGGGTGGGGGTGGCCAGTTGAGCGGGACCCTGGGTCTGCACCACGCGCTTGTACACGGATATGACCCTCATGTTCTCCTGAGCCGCAGGCCCCACCGCAGCTGGTCACATCCTTAGGAGTTCTAATGGTGCCCCTGCAGGGAGCCCTATTCCGTTTTTTCCAGAAGGGTCTTCCAGAAGGTTCCAGTGCACATTTATGTGTCTTGTTCTTTTCTAAAAACTTCCTTGTTCTCTTCTCCCTAAATGGCACCTTAGCCTTCACCTTCCTGGTCCCGCCCTGGGAGCACCCAGGTGGGGGGAATGAGCCGGGGCGGGCGGGTGCTGGGCAGAGCCTGGCCTGTGGCAGCAGTGGCCCCTGAAGCTGGTTTGACTCCACTCTGCCGAGTGGCTCACTTTGGCATCTGTCATCTGCTCATTCTTTTCTGAGGATGGCTCTGAGAGGTGACAGGCTGGTTGAGTGACTAGCCAGATCAGACCACAGGAGGAAGCACCCTTCTGCCCTACCCCCAGCCTCCTAAGTCCCTACTTTCTGGGGCTTTGGTTGTGGCCTCTCTGGATTCTCACCATGTCTTCTCTGGACACCTTGTCGCATATGAAGAACCGCTCATGGTGCCCAGGATGAACCCTAGTAGCACTCCGGGCAGTCTCCCCTTAGAGTGGGCCCCAGGTGTGCTCCCCGGGCAGTCTCCCCTTAGGGCGGGCCCCAGGTGTGCTCCCCGGGCAGTCTCCCCTTAGACTGGGCCCCTGACTGCTCTCTCCTCCCCTGCCAGGCACAGGGAACCCTCAAAATGGATGGCCCAGTTTGGTGAGCTGTCTTCCAAGCCATCTCTTTGGAACTTGGGGGCCTTCTACCATCGTTCCACCGTGCAGAGCATTATTATATACGCTCATTTCAAGAGGTCTTCGCTCAACGACATCGCCCTGCTCAGGCTGACCTCCTCGGTCACCTACACTAAGTACATCCGGCCCGTCTGTCTCATGTCCTCCTCCTTGGAGTTCCAGAACCGGACTGACTGCTGGGTGACCGGCTGGGGGCACATCCATGAGAATAAGAGTGAGGCTGGGGACAGGTGGGTGGGAAAGACAGCGCCACTATTCTCCAGCCACACCAGCCCCCACCTTGGTCTGTGGGCCCTTCTGGGCCGATGAGTATTCTCTCCCCACCTGCTGTCCACTCCTCCTGCCCCTGAAAGGGCAGGACTTCCCGTTCCCACACTCAGTTCCCTGTCCTCCCCGAGGCTGAGCCAGGAGCCAGCACTGAGAGGACCTGCTTCCCCCACACTTCACTTCTCAGCCTGCAGGGATCTGGGAGATTTGGGGTGGATTTTTCAGAAAGGCCGTAGGCATTGTTTTTTTTAATAATTGAGATTTAATTCATAAACAACGAAATTCACCATTTCAAAGTATATACAATTCAGTAGGTTTTAGTACATACAGTTTGCAACATCACCACCATCTAATTGTGGAACATTTTCGTATCAAAATGAAACCCTGAAACCATTTAACAGTCATTCCCCATCCCCCCTCCCTCCAGCCCTTAGCACCACTAACCAGGTTTTTACCTCTATGGGTTTACCTGTTCTGGAAGTTTTATAGAAATGGGATCATACAATATGTGACTGTTTGTGTCTGGCTTCTTTCGCTGAGCATAATCTTTTTTTTTAATTTATCTTTATTGTTGAGAATATTATAGGTGTCCCATTTCCCCCCCCCCAATTGACCCCCTCCACTTCGCTCCCACCCCNAGGTGACAGGCTGGTTGAGTGACTAGCCAGATCACTCCTGCCCCATCACCACCCCCCAAGTCCCCAGTTTCTGGGGCTCTGGTTGCAGCCTCTCTGGCCTCTCACCACCATGGGAGCAGGTGTGCTCAGGTGTCTCCCTCCAATAAGGCTTCCTGACTGCTCTCTCCTCTCTACCAGGTCCACTGACCCCTTTGTGTGGACAGTCCAGTTTGGTGAGCTGTCTTCTGAGCCTGCTATCTGGAACCTGCAGGCCTACCGCAACCGTTACCAGGTGGAGCGTATTGTTATGAGCCCCAGGTATCTGGGGGCTGTATCCAATGACATTGCCATGTTGAGGCTGACCTCGTCTGTCACCTACACTAAGTACATCCAGCCCATCTGTGTCCTGACCTCTTCCGCTGAGTTCCAGAACCGGACTGACTGCTGGGTGACTGGCTGGGGGGAAATCAAAGAAGGTGAAGGTGAGGCTGGGGACACGCTATGGGTCTGGGGCAGGAGAGCAGGGGCATGATCCTCCACCCTCTGTTCCAGCTGCATCAGCTACACCAGCCCCCACCCTACACAACTGGGACCCTTCGTGGGCCTGCTCAGTGTTCTGTTCCCACCTGCTGTGCTCCCCCCTACAAGGGCTGGACTTTCTGTACCAACACTCAGTTCCCTCTTTCCCCCAGAGACCATGAGCCAGAAGCTAGTGGTGAGAAGGCAGCCAGCTTGGCCCAGGCTATACTCCCAGTATGCAAGGGCATTGGGGGTGGGGTGGGAGGACCTGTCAGAAAGGCCTCAGCCTGGAGCTCACCCCCCCAAGCCATCAAACCTCCCCACGCTGGCTTGCTCATACCTTCTTTATCTATCCATGGTGGCCTACTCTCCCGGAGTGCTGAGCCCATTTCTCTATTCTCAAAATTTCAAGCCACAGTCCAACCTTGGCTCTACAGGAAGTCCTTGAACCAGTAGGAGCTGTCACCTGCTTATCTTTCACCATGAATGCCCTGAAACCGCTGGGCACAGCTTCCCCCAGGGTGCCCTCAGGTGGGGGAGGCACAGGCCTTCTGCCTGGACTGCCCCTTACACTGTTCCCTGGCCTCGCCCATCCCTGCCTCACCCTTAAATAGCAATAATAACAGAGGAAGCTCTTGCCTGCACACTGTGCCCGGCACTGTTCTAGGCTCTAGGGACTCAGGAGGTAGCAGGATACCATCTGTTTTCCTTCAGGACCTTGCTTGCAAATGAGGCTGGAAACATTTTTACACCTAGTTCACAGATGAGCAAGCTGACAAGGATATGGAAATTGCCCAAGGCCCCAGAAGGGGTCAGTGGAGAAGCCAGGGCTCTCTCTGTACTGTCACAGAGAGAACTGGGGATAGAAAAGTGAACACTAGACCTGCCTCCCTCTAGAGTTGGGGTCCTTTCCTTTCTCCTAGGAAGGACTGAATAAAGTGCCCCTGCTACAGACTTCCCTGGCCCCAAAGGGCTGCATGAGTGTGAGCCAGGAGGCCCAGCCAGGCAGACTGCTCCCTCCCTCCCTGGCCCAAGGCTGACAGGTAGTCACATCCAGCCCCAGGCTCCACCCTCATTCTCACACGTGGAGATGACTTGTGGAGCCCCTCTGCCTGGTGTAAACCTTAGCTCTGCCATGTGCTAGCTGGAAGACCTTGTGTAAGCACTTCATCTAACTGTGCCTCAACTTCCTCACCTGTAAAATGGAGTAATAATAGTTCCCACCTCAGAGGGTGGCTCTGAGGTTTAAAAGCGTTCATCCATAAGGTTTAGCAGAGTGCCCTGCAGACCAGAGGCTCTGCCCACACGTCAGCTTTTTTTTTTTTTTAAACATATCTTTATTGACTTCAGAGAGAGGCAGAGAGAGGGAGAGAGAAACATCAATGATGAGAGAGTCATTGATCTGCTGCCTCCTGCATGGCCCCTACTGGGGATCGAGCTGCAACCCGGGCATGTGCCCTGACCTGGAATCGAACCGAGATCTCCTGGATCCTAGGTCGATGCTCAACCGCTGAACTATGTTGGCGGGGCCACATGTCAACTTTTGATGTTATTGTGGTCACAGGATAAGGTAGAGATCCCAGCCAGGACTTAGGTATTGGATAGACCGGGGTTCACGTCAGGCTCTGCCATTTCTCGGGTGCACCTTTCTTACTTAAAAGTGGGTCATGATTGCGCTGCAGCCTGGGAGTGCTGTGGGAGCACTAGGAGTGCCTAGGAAAGCTCTTGGCTCGGGCCTTGAAATGTATGAATTCTAAAACCTCTTAGCTGCATTAGTCTTCTCCCCTGTGCATGCTAAGGTCTCTCTACTGGCTCTGGCGGGGGCTGTCATCTGCATGTTGCTTGTAGGGAAACTGAGCCTCAGGGAGGCGCTCTAACAGCCTGTACTGCCATTGGGTCCTTCTGGGATATCGCTCATCACCCATGATGTGCTGGGTGCTCGGCTAGAGCAGAGGACTCATCAAGGCACCACCGGTACCCCAGGGACCCTGCCCCCCTGCCCTGTAACCTATGCATTCCTCCCAACCAGATGGCAGAGCAGTGGCTCAGGATGCTATCTTTCTCTGTCCCCTCAACTCCTACATAGATCTGCCGTCTCCCTACACCCTCCAGGAAGTGCAGGTCGGCGTCATAAACACCACTATGTGTAACTACCTTTACTCACAGCCTTATTTCAGCCACAACATCTGGGGAGACATGATTTGTGCTGGCTTCGCTCAAGGTGGCAAGGACGCCTGTTTCGTGAGTGTCCCTACCCACCCTAACCAGGCCTTCTGGGTCCTAGTCTCTCACCAGCCCAGCCCCAGACCTGAGAGCCATGGTCTTCATGACAATCCAAGGGGTTTGAGACCATTGCCCCCCTTTGCAGATGCAGAAACTTGGCCGCTTCTAGGGGGGAGGAGTAGGATTTGTACCCAGTCTTCCCAGCTCCACAGCCCCTCCTGCTCTCCCTACCTTCTCTGTTAACCCCTCCTGCCCCACCCCAGGCCCTGCTCACCCATTCTGCTCCCCAGGGCGACTCAGGCGGACCCTTGGCCTGCGAAAAGAAAGGGCTGTGGTATCAGGTTGGAGTCGTGAGCTGGGGAGTGGGCTGTGGTAGGCCCAACCGGCCCGGTGTCTACACCAACGTCAGTATGCACTTCAAGTGGATGCAGAAGCTGGTTGCCCGCAGCAACATTCACAGGCCATGCTCCTGGCTGCTGCTGCTGGTCCTCCACCTCCTCTGGGCTGCCCCAGCCCTGCAGCCAGCCTGAGCCCAACAGAGCCCCTGAGAGTCAGGGCCATCTGCTGCGTCAGGCCCAGCCCCCTCCTGTCCTGTTGCTAATAAACACATTTGCATGTTCTAGTTGATGCTTTGCAGAACATTCTGTGGACTCCCTCATGGTCATCCATGTCCTGTCCACCCCAAGACCACTCCGTAACTCCTAAATCTCTCCCCAATTACAGGTCTGGCTTGCAAACAACAGAACCCTCTCAGGTTAATTCAATCAGAAAGATAATTTATGGAAGGGCATTAGTAGCACCAGGGTCCCTGGGGGCTCAGAAGACTGGAGTGGGGGTACTGTGGAGGAAACGCCCCCAAACACCCCAGTGCTCATGCCGGTGGTCCCTTTACACAGATGCCAGGTGCTCCTGGTCTTACTGTGGTCGCCCAAAGCCTGACCTGGAATCAGGACTGAGGTGCAGGTAGTTTATTTGGGAGGTGATACCAAGAAGCCCCAGTGAGGAGTGGGGAAACTGAGGCAGGGAAGGAAGAACCCAATGACATTTGCCTGAAAGAGGAGGCTACTGTGTGGGCAACTGAGGCACAGTCCCACTGGGGCCTCTGAGAAACCACAGGGAACACAAGCCCCTCCATCAAACTCCTGGAGGACCAGGATGCTGGGTGTGGGCACTTCTCTCCTGACTCCCATGGATTCTACTGATGTGATTAAATTAAGGACATGAGATGGGAGATTTTCCTGGATTATCCAGGTGAGCCCCATGTAATCATAAGTGTCCTTAAAGCTGGAAGAAGGAGCCCGGCAGTGTGGCTCAGTGGTTGAGCGTCGACCCATGAACCAAGTGGTCCTGGTCAGGGCACATGCCGGGGTTGCGGGCTCGATCCCCAGTAGGGGGCGTGCAGGAGGCAGCTGATCGATGTCTCTCATCGATGTTTCTATCTCCCTCTCCCTTTCCCTTCTCTCTCTAAAATCAATGAAAACATTTTTTTAAAAAAATCGAAGGAGTCAAAAGAGGAAGTCTGATGTGATATGAAAAGGACACAACCCACTGTTCCTGGCTTTGAAGACAGCAAGGGCCACAAGCCAAGGACGAGGCGGCCTCTAGAAGCTGGAGAAGGTGAGGCAGTGGGTTCTCCAGAGTCTCCAGGAGGGAATGCAGCCCTGCTGACACCTTGCTTTTAGATCAGTGGGACACTTGTCAGAATTCTAGCCGACAAACTTTACGACAGTAAACTTATGCTGTTTTAGGCCACTAAGTGTGTGGTAATTTGTTACAGCAGCAATAGAAAAGTAATTCATGACGTAGCCTGCATTCCTGCAAGTCCAGAGTGAAAACGCAGAAAATTGAAGATCCAGAATACAAAAACAGCGAAACCCATCCAGTGGGACCCGAAAAGAGATTCCAAAGTGACAGTGTAGCAGAGCCGGAAAGCAATCAGAAGAGGAAGTCAGCAGGCTTCAGGCTGTGAAGTGGAGTGGGTTGGAGAGTAGGACAAACACGAAACTGCCAGAAAACAGACAATCAAAAGTTCTGGGAGTGGAGGAGTCAGGACTATGCAACAAACTCAAGGTCCAAAATGAAACAGTATGTCCTCCAGCTTCTAGCCATGGAATGGCCAGGCCGACCCAGCTCTGCCTGGGAGAGCAAGGTCCCATCAGATCATGTCAGGTCCCTAACAGGCGGAAGTGGAAGAGGGCTTGGGGTTCAGAGGGGACTCGAAAACAAGGGAAAGGTATAGAGAGGGAGCCCCCTTAGTGGTATACACCTGACAATGCACAACTCCCTGGCGTGTCAGAATAGGAATCTTGACTAGTGCAGAGATACCAGGTGACCGCACTCATTCCCAGCTGGCTGGAGAGGTTCGTGTTAGAGATCCTCAGTGTCCTGGGGAGACTAGGAAGCTCCCCATGGGGCCAGAATAAGCCCCTGGGGTTAGGAAGCAGGAGGGAAGAGGAAGGTCTTGGAAAGTGTGCAGCAGGATCCAGTCATGTAACCAGCCCTGTTTGCTCAGGCCCTGCCCTCGGCGCGCTGGTATCCAGGAGGGGATGAGAGTCCCGCAATGATCCCTTCCTAGGCAACAGCACTGGGACCTGGGTCCCGATCTGGCTGGCAGCCTGTGGGGCCAGCAGGGGCCAGGCCCAGGAGCATCTGAGTCAACACCAGGAAGACAGACCCAGCCAAGTGGCAGCATTGGGTGTAGGCACCCAAGACACGGCTGGGGGAGGGGAAGAGGACAGCTAACTGGGCCACCCAGGGCCCAAGGGGTTACAGGACCCAGACTAGGAGCCCAGGCCCAGTGTAGGCCTTGCTGTGGAGGTGGGGGTTGAGTGGGGGTAGGGAGTGCAATTCCATTTCCTGGAGTTCATGACTCACGAGTAACCCAGACAGACCTGGGCCTGCCCACCTGCCCTCAGGAATATCACCTCCCCATTGGGGGGATGGCCAGTCAACAAATAAATGGACCAAACCAAGAAATATTCATACCTTACCTTTCCTCCAGGTGCCTAGGGCAGGCTGGTTGCAAGGCTGGGCTTGACTGGGAAAGAGGAGATGACCTGGGGGGGTGGGTCCTCTGGGCCCCTCTGCTGAGCAGCGCGGGGGCTGGTTCTGGCCCTACAGAGATTCCTGGGGTCCCATCTGGACAAAGTTTGAGATGGCCTCTGAAGGCCTCATCTTCCCTGACCCTCCCGGTATGGGGTGTTTCCCACACCCCTGGGGGCACAGGTCTCTGCTCCTACCAGGCTGCTGTACAGTTTTGGACAGCGCCCCCTCCTGGCCCTGGGAGGAAGTCCCCACATCAACGCTGATGGGCTCCTGGGGACAGAGTGAGAATAGGAGACACCACTTGATGCAAAGAGAATGAGGACGGTGCTGCCCTTGGCCTGGCTGCCTCCAGCTCCAGGAGGAATTCCTTGGACCCTTCTATTGTGCTCCGCACCCCTTGAAAGAGAAGCGGGCTGCAGCCAACCCCCCTTAGTCCCCACCCCGCACTGGCCCTCCCTCCCTCACACCTGCTCCCCCTCAGCATCCGCCTCTGGAGAACCTCAGAAACAAGTGAGTCCATCCCCTTTCCCCTAGGGAGACCCTCTCTTATCTGAAGAAACAGCTCCCTCAAGCTACCAGAAGACCCCGTGGGTGGCCCTGTGGGCATTATTTGGATTTAGACATGTTCCAGACTGTATAGCAGTCTTCCAAAGTGGCAGCCTTCCACAGGACCGGTGCTGTGTTTCCACCAGCAATGAAGGAGAGTTCAACTTAGTTTTTTATACCTGAAAATTAGTACCTACCCTATAGACTGTTGTGGGAATGAAATGAGTGAATGTACTTAGAAGCATTCCTGGCACGGAGTAAGCACTAGGCGTGTGCTGGCTGCTGCCACCTTCATCTGGGCCCAGCCAGCAGGACTTTGAGAAGAAGAGAGCTCCCCACTCCTGACACCCCAGCATGAAAGCCGAGCCAAGATGACCATCTTCCTCCCCCTTCTGCAGACCGATCCTGGGACAGCCCAGGCCTCCTCCCCATCTCGGATCCTCTTCAGCAGTGGTTTCAGCGGAACGTTTTTTCCAAGAGATGTCGGTGGACTTTGTTTGTAAAAGGACTCTATGATCACAGGTGTTTGGGAAAGTTAAATTAATTTCTTTGTTGCAGGATTTTTCAGTGACTTTGATATACTAAAATATATCAGGAATCTTTAAGAGGAAATATAGTTTGCAGAATTCCTCAAACTTAACCACAGAACCCTGGTTTTGGAAGAATTTCATAAGGGACTTGTGAGATGCTGCCCAGGGTCTCTAGGGCCAAGTTGGATCTTCAGGATTCCCCTGATCCCTCCCTCTTGTAGGGTGCCCTGATCAGACATCCTGCAGCTTCTCAGGTGGATTCCTGCACATTCGGGGCCTGTCCCTGCCATGTGGCTCATAAAACAGGAGGGGGCACTGGTGAGCTGAGGCGTCGCTGCCCAAGCGCTCATCTCCAGGTTAGGAAATGGCAGAGTCCTGGGTTCTCTTTGGATATTTACTAAATAAAGCAGGTATGTAAAACTGTGAGTAACTGAAGGTGACCGAAGCAATGCTTATTCCCAATCTGTGTTGAGATGACCCCAGCTCCCTGCATCCCTGTTGCCATCACCCCATTCTCAGTCTCCAGGCTGAGCAGCCCCCCTCGGCAGAGGCCTTCTTCACTGGAGTCCCCCTTTTCCTCCACCTCCAGGAGGCCTTTCCCTTTCGGAGTCTCCGGCCAGGTGAAAGCCACGTACCCATATCATCCTCCTGCAAAAGAGGCTCGTTCTCCTTTTAATGTGAGAAGTGGATCGCGGATCAAGGAGGAATTTATTTGCACACCGTCTTTCTCAGCCTGATCACGCTGCTGCCTGGACAACTGTTTAAGATGACAGGAGAAATGGTCCCATCACTCCAGAACCAGACTTCTTTACAAAGTAAAAATAGCTTTACGATGATTATAAAATCAATGCATTCTGGTTAGAAAGGAGCATAAGAAGAAACTTTTGAAAATCACCAGAACCAAAGATTTAATCCTTTCGGTATTGGACATCTGAGTTGTTGACAAATGTCATTAAAAACGATACCTCCGTGTAAATCTTTATTTATAACCTTGGCACACCTTCCTAACCATTCCTCAGGATAATGTTTCTCTGGGTGTAATGCTTTAGTCAAATGGGCTTCCTGTTTTTAAGGTTTTTAAACCATGAGAAGGTCCCCAGTATACTCCCCCATTTCCCAAGTGTTCCTGACACTGAGGACTTCCACTTTTATATCCTTTGTGAACTTGTAGGTTAAAAAAATGCACCTCAGTTTTTAAAAGAGTAATTACTTTGTTTTTGTAAAATTGGCACAATCAAAAAAAAAAAGAAGCAATTCCAAAAAAAGAGAAAAAAGCCCCAACTCCCATCATCTGGAAATAACCATAGTTCTGTTTGAATGTTGTTCCAGAAATCTGTTTGGTAAAACAGATTCGAGGACAGGCAGATGGAGGGATGGCTGGGGGGTGGGTCAGGACGGAGGCCTGGACC